AAACATTATTTTAGAAAATTGATTAAGTGATCAATTTGAAAATCAGGTTAATAGTCTTTATGGTCTCTGTACACAATAGTTGTTGAATAGGGGTTTTACCTCGTAGCTGTTTCTGTATTGTGTTATTTTATAAATTGACTGATTGGTCAATATGTCAGCTGGAAAACTGTATTGACCAATCAGCATCCATGACCACCATTATCAGTTTTATTTAATGCTTTTTTTATTTTATAAAACTTTATAAAACCCCATATATTAACAATGTAGATAACCCAGAAACGGATGGGCTAATTCAAGAAAGGAATGTGATGTTTATGGAACTGATCTTTCATTTTCATAGAACCATAGATATAATAATTGGTTAATGTAACAGGTGGTGGAATATTAATATGATTTGTAGATTTATCATGAAAATAATGTAATTTACCTCTTGCATTAGATGAGAGTTTAGAGTTGATCTGACTTACTGATTTGTTAAAGCATCACGCACAGATTTTCTGATATGTATGAAACTCAATCTCTGATTGGTGGAGATTTCACCCTCCAAACACTGATCAGGTGGAGGCAATAAAAAATACTAAAGTCTTTAAGCACAAACATACGGCTCTGATAAACTTGGATCATTGATTTGAATGAGATATCAACATACTGAATGTTTTCTGGGAGACAGATTGTTATTATTACCCATATTTGGTGATGTTAGTTTGCCTCACCCTGAAATGTTTGCAATTCTTGAGTAATGGAGGGTGAGATGTGGCCAAATGTCTTCAAGTGTGTAGTTAAATACAGGTAATGAGTAGGTTGAGTTATTTAGATTAAATGAACAGACCTCCCACATTCATACACATACTTGTTGAAGTCATATTTGTGTTCATTACAATTTGCAGTTACAAGGAATACTTCACCTTAAAATGAGAATATGTATCCTGAAAATGTTATTTTTGAAGCTTGACAGCACCTATGCCAATTCACTGTCAACATTCTGTTGAAACATCTCTTTTTTTTCTCCACATAAGAGAAATGCTCATTTCTGTGTGAGCTGTTTATTTAAGAATAAAATTGTGCCTGTCTAGATTCAACATACTCTTCCCTAGAGTTTTTTTTTTTATATGAGCTGTCCCATAATCTGTGGCAGTCAGACACCCTTTTTGATAAGAACCGAGGGGTTCTGTTATCTTTGCTTATTTTTTTCTGAACTTAGTAATGAATTGATTGTGGTCACCACCAGTGAGTCATGGGGTTATCAGCAGAGTGCACAAGTGGTTTTGACTCGGTTACTTGGGAAACCCTGATAACCGAAGTAAACGAGGGTTGTGAGTCATAGTCGGGGAGACTGGGGGAGGTGTGAGAGACAGCCATGCTTTATACACATGCGTTATACTGTTCTGTACCAGTCTGACAGTGTCTCTGATTTTTTTTACACAAATATTTTAGTTTTCATGTGTTTGTCTGGTAAAGGTCAAAATGGTCCCTTGACTTTTATTTTAGACCATTGTGTTTGTAAAATGTCACTGTAAAACAAAAGATCTGAAAACAAGAACATGAACAAAACTAAAAACCAACAAGTGCCATGGTGGAGCCTTGTTGGAAGACTGATTTTGAGCCGGTGGAAATGGAGACCCAGGAGGCGCCAAAGACCCGGAAGACCCATGTCGACACCACTAGTCCGGAGTGCCACGGCTAAGCCGTAGGTGGGCATGGCTGAGGTGGAGATGTTGTGTTGGCAGACAAGTGCAAATATAGTAGGAATGAGGACAATGGTGGAATCAGAGGGAAGGAGGAGCCCGGCAGAGCCAGGGAGTTGTAGGTTTAAGGAGGAGCTAACGACTCGGAAGTTGACGATGGACCAAGGTGGAGCCCAAGGGACAAGGAGCAGCTGACGACTCGGAAGTTGACAATTGACCAAGGTGGAGCCAGAGGGACGAGGAGCAGCTGACAACTCGGAAGTTGACGATGGACCAAGGTGGAGCCAGAGGGACGAGGAGCAGCTGACAACTCTGAAGTTGACGATCGACCAAGGTGGAGCCAGAGGAATGAGGAGCAGCTGACGACTCGGAAGTTGACGATGGACCAAGGTGGAGCCAGAGGGACAAGGAGCAGCTGACGAATCGGAAGTTGACAATTGACCAAGGTGGAGCCAGATGGATAGTTGCGCTGTGATGGAGCCGATGAGTCGGAGGGGCGATGTGGAACCTGGGGTTTGAAGCTTTGAGGTGGAACTGAGGGATCCACTGGCCAAGGCGATTGGGAAGCCTCAGACAGAGACTGCTGAGGGGCTGAAGTGAGTCCGCAGAGGCTCAGGTACTGGGTGGCTCAGGTACTGGGTGGCTTTGGCAGAGGAAGAGGGAGAGGGATTCTGGATGGACTTGGAGCTGGGCAGAGGCAATGGGGGACAACTTGGTACTGAATGACCAAAGAGATTTAGTGCTGGGAGACGAAGACCTGGTGGGATGAAGAGATGATGATGACTTGGAACTAGCCTTTACCAACGATGACTGAGATAGCTTGAAACTTGGGCTTATCCAGCAATGACAGAGATGAATTGGAACTTATCTTACCAGCGATGATTTGGAACTGGGCTTTACCAGCGATGACTGGGACGACATGGAACTGGGCTTAACCAGCAGAGATGAAAATGACTTGGGACTGGGCTTAACCAGTAATGACAAAGAGGACTTGGAATTGGGTGTTACCAGCGATGGCTGAGATGACTTGGAACTGTATGGGACCAGTGGAGACTGTGGAGCAGCAAATTTCTCTGAGATTACTTGGTTCTGGGTTCAACAAGAGATGACTTGGAACTGTGCATTTTCAGCGATGATTGAGATAACTTGGTACTGGGCTCCAGCGATGACAAAGAGGACCTGGAACTGGCCGTTACCAGTGAGACTGAGATGACTTGGAACTGGCTTAACCAGCAGAGATGTAGATAACTGGATGGGACCAGTAGAGACTATAGACCAGCAAACTCCTCTTCATCCAATTCATCCAACACCAATTCCGTCTAGCTCCAGCTTACTTTACACACCTCGGCCAGGGGAGTGTAGGTGGGGCTCCAATTCATCTCCTCAAACTTCATTTTTATGCCCTCCATGACAGACACTGTTGCTGACTCACACACCTGTCCAGACTCTGCTGTGGGCTCAGGCTCTGAGACTAAAATAGCCTCTGGTGAACGCTCAGGCTCTGGATTCATGGCGGGCTCCGGCTTTGAGTCTGTGATGGGCACTGGCTGTTCCACTGCGGGCATGGCTGGCGTGGGGCTGGCGATGTCCTCAGCAGTGAGGTAAAATGTGAGTCACACTGAACCAGCTCCCACTGCAGATAATCTGTGAAGCTTCTTCTAGGACCATCTACAGGCCGGCATATGCCTTTAAATTTTCATCGCGGCCAGTGTTATAGAATACACATAGAGAGGGGTTGGGGTATTGGGTAAGGCATGACAAGAGAGATGAGTGATGCTGAATGACTTATTATGATAATATTTATTAAACAGAGAGAGTGAAAACATTACACACATAAAATATTAACGTTAAATGTTAATGTGGAAACCAGAAATGAGAAAAATGAAGGCTTAAATACACAGAGGGAATGATCAACAGAACTTGGCATTTTAAGCCAATTTTTTTCTAAGATTTATCCTTTTCATAACCTTGGGTATCCTTATTTGTCACCGACCCCTAAAGCAGGAGAAATTGTAATAGCAGTTCTGACTGTTTACGAAACACTCCGTCTGCTCAGTTTATTATGTCTTTCCCTTGATTATTTCTTGTACTTGATTATTATCACAAGCTTGATTTGCTCAGGTTTCTTATGTAAACAGTCATTACAAATCATAATCAATAGTTATGAACACACACATAACAGATTTTTTTAGTCAAACATCTTGCGAGTCACAATGACTGATAGTCAAACCAAAATGGCTGATTGTTTTTGAACTATGAGTTGATTTATTTGGCCAAACAGGTGTTTGGATTGAATGGATGTAACCTGTGCCATCTGTGTACTCCAGATTGTGAGCAGCCGTATCTTCTGATTGACTCATCACGCAGGACTATATTTATCTCGTCAGCCTCTGTTAATGTGCGTGTGAAAGAAGGAAGCTGTTTTTAGAACATAAAGTGGACACATTAATCATTGTAGCAGAAACAAGAACTCATTGACGCAATTGTTTGCATGTTTGATTATCACTTGCAAACACGCAAGTGTATCAGAAGAACCACATCTACCACGACTGTAACCAGAAAAGGTGGTCAGATGCTTGGTGTTTGTTTCAAAATTAAATCAATTAAACCACAGATTATGTATCGGTTTAGTATTTTCAGGCTAGAGCCCGACCGATAAAGGATTTTGAAGGCCGATACCGATACAAATATTTTTTGGTTTTAAAATCCGATATTCCGATATATCGGCCGATATTTTTTTATTTATTTTTTTATTTCAGAAACGCGCAACAAAACATTAACAGATTTCCCTAACATTAGTTATTTGGAGTTATTTATGAGTTTTAACTAAAAAAATATGTAATATGATAATGCATTTTAAAAAGAAACTTGTTTCTTTTATTGTCTCAACAGAACAGACTGATGATATTGGCATTAGCTTTATGGTTAGCTATGAGTGGTTAGCTTGCCAACAGGAACGGTGTAGAGTGCCCTCTGGTGGACAAACTATACAACTCCAACCCTCATGACATGGTTCAAGCGTGTTCCGTCCGTTTTTATTTTATTTTTTAAATATTCATTTATCGGCCATTATAACTGCCGATACCGATAGTTTGGAAAATGCCTAATATCGGCCGATAATATCGGCCTACCGATATATCGGTCTGGCTCTATTTCAGGCTATATTTTCTTCTCTTAAAAAAAAAATTCAGTGTTTAGTTCAGCATTTCTTGATTTCTAGTGTTTGATTGTGTTGGCTAAGTCACATTTCACATCAGTCTAATCTAAAGATGTCGCTGGGGGAATGTTATTTGCAACACAGTGTCCCTAGGGATGATGAAAAAGAGTCTTTGGATCATTATTGGACAGAAAACCGATGCTGATTGATCACTCTTCCTTCATATGCCTATTAGAGTTTGCGAGCAGTCACTGGCACTGATGTGTGTGTTATAACTGGCTTTCTAAATGTTACATCAGTTGAATGGACTAGGGAAAACAGAAGCTTGCTTGACAGACTCTCTTTCAGTGTTGTGATTTTGTCAGTGCACTTAATGGATTGTGTTTGTGTGTTGCAGGTGATTGACTGGATAGAGAACCACGGGGAGGCTTTCCTCAGTAAACACACAGGTGTGGGCAAATCCCTGCACAGAGCCAGAGCCCTCCAGAAACGCCATGATGACTTTGAGGAGGTGGCACAGGTGAGACAACTGCTTCATTCAGTCAGATTAATACAAAACCATCAGACTAATCCACATCAATCTTATTTAAGCCACTTCTTTTCAGATCGAATCATTCAGTTATATCCATCAAAAACAGCCAATTAAAAAGTGTCTCAGACAAAATGTGTTATATCAGGTCTTAGTGCATAGCAGCATATCCAATAAACAAGTTAAAAAGGGCTTCATTAACATTTATAGTAATTTTTCAGGCTTAATTAAGGGTTTTCATGTGCCGGTGTGATGCAACATCAATAATGCCCTTGCACCGACAGAATTTTTCATTTTAGTATGAAGATTGGATGACTTCAGCTTATTCTAGTCCAGTGGTTCAAACTGGGGTGTGTGAGGTAAGAGAGGGTACACAGAAAAAATGCAGAGTTTTGCCGTTCGCTTACTTCTACCCCACCTTAAACTAACATTAAAAGGGATTGTGTATTTCTAACAGGTAAAATGTCACCTCTAGTTTAAAAACAGGAAAATGATAGTGACATAAAATTACATGCAGTATGACATGGGCGTAGAATACTTACAGTGCGTATAATATAGAAGTCATTACATTTGTGACTTTCCAGGAAATCCCTTAAATGGACAAAGGCATCCAGCTAAAGCTGAAACATTTCGACTGATGAAATGTGAAGACAATAAACACACGATAATTTTATTTTATTTTTTGCTTTATTCTGTGGTAAAAAAAAGAAAATCCACAATGACTTAATGCACAAGGGTTTGTAGTAAATAAACCAATCCTAAAGTTGTCATAAGGAAAATAAAGAAAACAAATATCATAGAATACTAATTTGTTGTTTTTTTTTTATTTTAGCAAATTTGCTAAGTAAAAGCAAAAGATTGAAAAATAAATGAAATAAAGAAAAACCTATCAACTAGACAACAGTCAGAAAAAAATACACTTTGACATTTGAAATGATGCCTACACCCCAATCAGCGTGCATACTAGTTTGCTGGCTTAACAAATCATGCTGCATAACTGTCGTTCTCGACAACATGCCGCTGTAGAAGTGTGGGTTTCACAATTAATGGCATTAAATCAACAGAGGTTTAGATGTTCAAAGTTTGAAGTCACCATTATGGTGATCAGTGTTTGCTTTAGTTGGGAGTCCACATTTTAAAATTATTTTAAAAAAGGAAAAAAAAAAAAAAATAATATATATGTATTGATCAAAAAAACTGCATTGCTTCAGTCCAGTAAGTGTTCATCGTGAAATATAGAAGGCATGAGGTTGATTGTGTACAACAGCATTTGATTTATAAGTAGGGTTTATTACTATAAGGTTAATTATCTCAAACCAAAACCTCTTTCTAAGATTCACCAACCTTGCAAACCTTTGAAAATGTCCTCATTGTACTAACATGAGTTTGTTTCCATGTGACCTGATATAAAATCGACTTTTCACAATGTTTTAATGCCGAGCACTGTTGACAGTCATGGCTTGTTAGAGCAAAAACTCAGACTAACATGGAAGAAATGTGATTTATCGGTTATCATGGTGAGCCTAGTTTGGTCCCAGTCCAACAGTACAATTAGAATCAGGCGCTGACACATGTTGGACTGAGACTTGTGTGTCCCACTAGCACACAACTGCTGTGTGTGTGTCTTCCTGCCATGCAAACAAAAACCATACTATCAGGAGCTTTTCCCATACGGCACAAATCTCAAACAGACCCCACTAACCACAAGGAGACAATCCTCTGGATAATTACAGGAAGATGTTTTTGGTGTCTGTCCCTTTTAGAAACATTTAATCAAATGATATAATAAAGATGTCAACATATGCAGTGGTGGTAGCACAGCAAACACAAACGCTTCAGAGAACGGGCTAATGGAAATGTTTCCAGGCCTCTGGAGCTCCATCAAATGAGCTTCACAGATGGTTTCCTTTACTGTATGGGCAATGAGTTCAAATATGCTCATAAAGCAATTTCCAAATGCCCCAAGTGTTGTAATGCATCCTAGATATTCATAATTAGTAATTTGAGGTTAAAGGAAATGTGTGAAAATTCACAGTCAATTTGTATTGTTTTAAACTCATCTCAGGAGAGAGCTGTGTGGTATTCGTCTCTATTTTTGGTATCAGCATATGTGTCTTTTCAGGCTGTTGTTTCTATATTGCACACAAAGCAAAAGTCAAATAAACATGATTGAATGTTGATATTATTGGAAAACTGCCACATTGGATGTGCCTCGCTCACACTGTATTATTGTAAAAACAAAGGACTGAACTACTGTATAGTATACGTTGATATTCTCCTTATTAATGGCTATTACAGCAATATAATGGAATGCAGGCACAATATATTAGGCATTCTTTTGTATATTTTTATATTAGTCAACCTTTGTAGAAGCAAAAACAGCCACAATACAGTGTTTAATGATTGTTTTTACGCCTCTCGCTAAACCAGTTTTGCCACTAACATTAAGGGACAGATTTTGTAAACAGGGTAAATTAGCACAATCCCATAAAAGCACAGTTGGGAGTGGAATCTATTGATGACGTGCGCAAAGCTTTTTTTGGGCGGTAAATAATGGTTCAAATAACAGTAAATTGACGAGTGCAAACCTTAGTAGATCAGTTTGCATGAGTCAATTAAATACTCTCCTCCCATTCATTTTGTGTCTGAAAGGGAAACTCCATGAAAACCCCTTTTCAGCACTTATTTTTCACTGGGTGTCTTTAGTAAATCCTGACAGTAGTTTTTTAACACCAAAAGAGGGTTTGCTGGTGCAAGTTGTAAGTAAATCTAGCTCTAAGACTTCTATGTAAATTATGTTTGACATAACTCTGTGGGAACATTTGGGTTCCCAAAGTCAAAATCACATTCATATTTTACATGGTGACATTGATTTTTAGCCTTTCATGACAGATTTATGAGCTCTGACATAAAGTGGGGATGTATTGTATACTGTTTAAAAGTTTAGGGTCAGTAATGTTTTCTTTTAAGAAATTAATACTTTTATTCAGCAATGCATTAAATTGATCCAATGTGACAGTGAAGTATTATATATTTTAATAATGGCTTAAATGGCAATTCATCAAAGAATCCTGAAAAAATTGTTTTCACATGTGTTGACTGACAGCTCTCCTGTCCTCATGCTGAGACAAATCAGGAGTGAGATGCAGTGTTGTGTGCGCTGTGTGAACATGATGGCATTGTCGTTCTAGACTAAATGTGAGCCGGCATTTACTCTTTTGCACAAAGACAGATTCAGTATTTCTCAAAATATGATAAAAAAAAAAAAACTGTCAAATATTGCTAAAGTAAGAGTGTTGAACTTTCTTCTCCTGCGTCATTTAACCTTTGGTGTCAAAATGACCTTTAAATTAGCCAAAAACAGAACTTTTTTTTTTTTTTTTTTTTTTCCCCATAAAAAGCCCAGACCTACGGAGGCGTATTGCATTCACTTGAAGAAAAAAAAATCTACTCTGTTTTTCTGAATTAACGAGTTAATTTTTCATGAGAAAAAAAAAATTGCTCTGTTTTTCTGAATTAATGAATTAATTTTTCATGAGAAAAAAAGTTTTTGCTCTGTTTTTCTGAATTAATGAGTTAATTTTTCATGGATTTTTTTTTTTTTTGCTTTGTTTTTCTGAATTAACGAGTTCATTTTTCATGGAATTTTTTTGCTCTGTTTTTCTGAATTAACGAGTTAATTCAGAAAAAAACAGAGCAAAAACTTTTTTTCTCACGAAAAAAATAACTCATTAATTCAGAAAAACAGAGAAAAAAATATTTTCTCATGAAAAATTAACTCATTAATTCAGAAAAACAGAAAAAAAAATTTTTCTCATGAAAAATTAACTCATTAATTCAGAAAACAGAGCAAAAAAAAATTCTCATGAAAAATTAACTCGTTAATTCAGAAAAACAGAGCAAAAAAAAATTTTTTCATGAAAAATTAACTCATTAATTCAGAAAAACAGAGAAAAAATGTTTTTCTCATGAAAAATTAACTCATTAATTCAGAAAAACAGAGAAAAAAATGTTTTTCTCATGAAAAATTAACTCATTAATTCAGAAAAACAGAGTAGATTTTTTTTCTTCAAGTGAATGCAATACGCCTCCGTACAGACCAGCCCAGGTGAGAAAAAGTAATGCAAAAGTAATGTAACATAGAACTTTGCATAGAAAGTACCTCAGTAATTCAATTAGGCCCTAGTTCCTTTTATTGGGAGTAACGCAATATTGTAATTGTAAAAGTTAAATGTTTCTTGAGCATCAAATGATTTCTGAAGGATTATGTGACACTGAAGACTGGAGTAATTCAGATTTGATCACATGAATAAATCACATGTATTAAAATAGAAGTTATTTTAAATTTCAATAAAATTTTGTACTATTACTGTTTTACTGTATTTTTATACAAATAAATGCAGCCTTGGTGGGCATAAGAGACATATTAAAAAAATCTTCGAACTGTAGTGAATGCTTATATAGAAGCCGCTAGTGAAATTGGAAGTCATGTTGGAAAAAAATGGCATGACTCATAATCTAGAAGAGACATCCTCATATCATGGACCTGCTGGCTTTTTTTTTTTTTTTTGAGCCAGTAAGCAAACCACCTACCAACGCCTTAGCAATCACCCACAACACCTCAGCATGACAATGAGTATTGTAGGGCTAAGTGGCTTTTACACTTTCCTTAGAAAAAGTTCAAATCAAATTCAAATTGCTACTAAATGCTGTCGTGTACAAACTAGACACATTTGAATTAAATTCACACTATTTGTCATCTTAAATAGGATCAAGTCTTGCTTCACTGATATTTGTTAAACAAAGTGATGTTAAATACATTGCGCAGTATTAATCTGACAGCGACCAGACAAAGATCACTGTACACTAAACCCTGCCTCTATCCACATAATTCCCCTGAGATGAATAATCCATAATAGTCCGGATGACAGATCAAGAGTCTCAGTGTCATGAGAAGGGCCCGAGACAATCTGACTCCGTCTAAATAAGCG